TGCTGCCAAGGGCCCCAAACCCTGAGATGGAAGGTTCTCTTTTTAGGAGAACTTGAGGCTCTCAGGGGTTGTGACATCAAGACTCAACCTGTGGATCAGCAGGACCCAAGAGTCTGGAGATCAGGACCCCCAGGTACCCTGGCCCTCTCTGATGTCTCTTACTGTGGGGCCATTGCGGTGGGATGATTGGGGACAGAGGCGGGACAGTGGGAGATGAGGAGTCATTTCAGGAGTGGAAACAGTAGGGGATGGATGGGTATGTGGGTCAGACTCTGGCAGAGAGGAGGGGTGGGTCTGGGTTCCTTTTCTCTTATGGGAAGAGAAAGGACATCCTGGGCTGGGAGCTGGGCCTGGGGGATCCTGAGCCCTTTGGAGCCTGGTCTTAGTCCCTGATCTCCACCCTGATACCCTCAATCAGGAGGCACAGAAAGCGTCGTCTGCTACCAAGAGGACTCAGTGGGGACAGAAATCTGACTCCTCGCTGGACGCTGAGGTGAATGGTGGGGAGGGGCCTGGCCCTACAACAGAGGGCCATAGTGCACTGTGGGAGACCCCATCGCCCCCGTGTGTACACATTAACTGGCCTGCGATCGCACAGTCTACGCAGAACACCCCCATCCCTGCTCATGCAGATTGGTCTGAGCCAACCGTGAGAACAAGGTTGAGCCCTCAGCTGGTTTTGCTGCCTGCAGCTCTCAGAGCCTCTGTCCCTTCAGCTGGCAGATTGCAGGGCTCTGACTCATTGTGGGTGTGGGGCTTGGGCAAAGAGATGCCTTCCTATCCAGTGGCCCCTTCCCCTTCCATCCCTGAGCACCCCATTGCCTTGTGCTAACAGCTCTTTGCCCCACAGGTGTGACAAGCCCTGCCAAGACAGACCTGCAAGTCTTCATCTCAAGGGGCCTCCCTCATGCCAGGCCTCTGCCTCTCACAGCAGCACCCCTTCCTCTCATTGCCTCTGTTCCCTTTTTGCCTCTGGATCTGTTTGGCCAGGGCCCTGGGGTCAGGAATATTTGCAAGACTCAGCCAGTTCCTTCCCAGCCCAGCCTCTTGGGGCTGGGACCTTCTCACCCTGCAGCAGGCACAACAGATGCTGGGACCCAGCCTCTGCCCAGGGCACAGCACAGGTGCACATCAGCACTATGGGGCCTACGTCCTGCCCAGAGAACTCTGCTCCTTCCTGCTCACATCCAGGGTCAGGGCACGGCATCCCTCAAGAACTCCAGAGTCACCTGTCTCATCTGCTCCCAGCAAGTGCCTCTGTGTCTGTGATGTCCCCCTTCACTGAGGCCTGGACCCACTCATCTTTGTCCCTGGGGCCTGCTCCCAGCCACCGAGGCCCACTCTGGCCAGATGGGGAAGGAGCTGCCATGCATCTTCCCCGTGGCATCTCCCTGCTTGGTTCTCCCCTCCCTTCCCTGGCCTGCTGCCCTGGCCGGGAGTTAAGTGCCTTTTTGTGTGCAACCACTTCCCCTTTCTCTGAAAATCCTATTCTCAGGAAGGATCTGATAAATTCATTCACTCTCAGGTGTAAGTGACTGATGAGACCTGAAAAGCGAATTCCTCTCTAGAGGCCTTGCTTTCTAGCAGAGGTCATCTGAAGTGTGTGAGGAGGATCATCATTTTCCTCATCTCCCCTCTTCTCACATTAAGGTGGTGGCTCGCCACTCAGCAGTCCTAGCTTGGTGACTGGGGAACTGCCACATACAGGGCCAGGCCTACCCTCTTCCTCCACAAGCCCCCTCCAGCCCCCACCCCCATGCTCGGACATCATGGCCCCTATGAGCTTGGAGAATGAACCATCAGAGAATCTAGAACGGAACAAGCTAGGAACATCAGCCTGGTGCCCTGTTAACCCCTTAAAGCTGTGGTTTACAACTTTTCAAAAGTTTAAATCATTAGAACTCTGTCTTGATTGACTGCTCTAGTTTTACCCAGAATCAGCTGGGGATGCGGCCAGGTGCAGAGCCCCCTGCCCACTCCCCCTTTGCATGCCTGGGGAAGCTCCAGGTCTTTTTGGAACACCACCCTTAACACTGCTCCTAAGGGTATCATCAGTCCAGTTCCCCAGGTGTGTGGGGTATCAGCCCTACCCCTGCTCTGTGACTCTGGGTGAGGGCTCCGCAGATCTGCCCCAGGGGACAGGCCCTCAAAGTGCCATCTGTGCAGAGGTCCCAGTGCCCCAGACTGGCCCACCTCTGGCCAGTGAGTCTCCTGTGCCCGAGTAAGGGACATAGGGACCTGGGGGCCCTGTCCCGAGCACCCCCCACCCACTGCTAGTGCTGGGGCTTTGTGAGTGTTCCAACTTTACAGCTAAGAGTTGGAGGACAAGGGTGGACAGGGCCGAGGAATGGAGTGAGTCCTGCCTGGAGCCTCGGACATCTTCACGGCTCTGGCTCTGCCCAGACCTCAGGTGTGACCCTTGAGCCATTTCCCTTCTCTGAATCTCAAGCAGATGACCTCAGAGGACTTTCACATGTTCATGCCATGATAGGTGAACTTTTCCAGTAAACAAAGCTGTCCCCACCCAGAGTCAGGAGAGCCTCCTGGAAGCCTTCCCCGGGCAGGGCCCCACCCTGGAGTCAGACACTGAGGGGCCTGTCCCTGCAGCTGCAGCCTCAGCAGGGCCCTTCATGCCTGCACCCCCTTCCCCTGGAGTGCCCGGTGAGGGCTGGCTGCTAGGGGAAATGTCAGGGGGTGCCACAGCACAGCCCCCTCCCCTGTGAATCCAATACGGGAGGGCCCTGCCCTTGTTCCTATTGCAGACGCAGCCAGTAAACAAGGAGACCAGGGTGTGCCCAAGATGACCTCGGCTGGGGATAGATGAGTGGTAGTGACTGGATGTCCAGGCAGGTGGGGAGGCCTCTGGACGGGTGACATTGGGCACCCTCTGGAGACAACAGGGCTCCCACTCACCACTCCTGGCCGTACCCTCCTGCTCTCTTGCCGTAGGGGCCCTGTGACCCCACAAGTGGCCCGTCCTGTTGTGGATCCTCAAATTTACATGCACTGTTTCAGCATAAGCTTCCCATTCCACTCTGGCTTTGTTTTCTCTTTACATCCCTTTGCAAGGACAGGGATATCAAAAAAATGGGCTGAGAGTAACCCTGCTATGCCCAGGAGTGGCTGCTGCATGGGGGCTGGATTTCCTCATCTGAGTAGCTGTCTCACAGCGCTCTGAACGAAGCTCCTGCCTTAGAACAATTCGAAGCCGTACAGGTGTGGCCTATGACACCAAGGATCTACTGGGCTTTTCCCATGGGGCTCTGTAGTGATCTAGGTGCCCAGACCCCTCTTCTAGGCATCCATGCAAATAAACTGTGGCCTGTTTGAAAGTTTATTGGGCTTACAAGGAACAGTAACCCACCCTCAAGTTAAAAAGGGGTTTGGGAAAAGTAATTCCAAATTCTACGTTATTCCAGGCCAGGACCCGAGGCAAGGCTAGGCCCTGCTTCATGGGCTAGACTGGGATAGAGAGATGATGGGGCTCCTCCCACTTTCTTCTGGATGGCCTGGCTCCTTCCTCACCATCCCTCGGGAATCTCTCCCCTCCATCTGCCTGTCTCTCTACAAAGTCTCCCTGCTTCCCTGTGGTCCTCCTCAGTCCCATGATGCTGGCCAGCAGGCGGTTGGCTTCCGCTTGCCCTGCTGCAGATCTGCTGGCAGTGTGGAGACCCACGTGGCAGGGGATAAGCCTGGAGCTGGGCAATCAAGGCCACCGGACTCAGAGGCCACAGGGAACTATGGAGGGGACAAAGTCAGCTGAGTGATGGGACAAAAGTCTAACAGCAGCATGGGTATGGAGCAAATGCAAGTCCCCTGTGCAGAGGACCTTTTCAAGGACATTAGTGGTGGAGGCAGCATAGTAACTCCCAAGATAGAGGGTTTGAGAGAAGAGTTTGAGGACTGGGAAGGTGGGACACATGACTGGGTGATGGGAGAAGAGGGCAGAGAATAGCGAGATTGCTTTCTTTGCCCACAGAGAAACAGAGGAGTGTGGATCATGAATGGGCAAGATCTTTAAGTGCCAGGGGGGTCATGGTGGAGGGGAGGGCCTGGTCCAGAGGAGGACCATTCCTGCTTCAGAGTCAAGCAGGACCTAGGCTGTGAAGATTCAGAGTGAGATGGAGGGGAGAGTCAGCTCAGCTGCCCACTGGCTTGCTTTCCTCCTGTCTCTTTCATTTTCATAATCTACCGAACCCTGCAATGGGCCAGCCCTGAACGTACAAGTGCATGTGCATGGTCAGACACAGGCAAGCAAGCGAAAGCCCGGGGCCTGGCACATGCATCTGCAGTCTAGCAGGTTTAGCAGGTCATAGTCCGGCACTGTTTGATTTTAAAGCCGTTAAGGGATGACCTTCGAGAGTCCGCATCACCCCTCTCGCACAACGAGCTGCCTGTTCAAGGTTCTTGACTGGAAGTTCTACCTTGTATCTGGCTGCCCGTAGCGGTTTAAGTCCATTCCCTGTGAGGAGGGTGTGCCACATGGCTTTGGGGGTCATGGAGAAGACCCACCTTGCAGATGCCCTCACGGAGGCTGGCAGAGCCGGCCACCTGCCCAACGCTGCTCAGCCCATTAGGAGCTGGTAGCCTGGAAGGTATCTTCACCCCCAGCATCGGTTCAAGTGGAGCAGCACATAGCTCTTGCCCTCTGCCTTCCAAGATTCTGGTGCTGAGACTTACGGAGTGTCTTGGAGGTTACCTTCTGCCCCCCAACCCTGTTCCCAGCCAGCCCTCCTAGGCCTGGGTTTCTGGCCTCTGCTTTATCAGGATTCTCAAGAGGGACAGCTGGTTTATGTTGCATGACTGTTCCCTGCATATCTGCTCTGGTTTTAAATAGCTTATCTGAGCAGCTGGAGGACCACATGGGCTTATATGGCGTGGGGTACATGTTCCTGTAGCCTTGTCCCTGGCACCTGCCAAAATAGCAGCCAACACCCCCCACCCCCACCGCAATCCCCCTGCCCCACCCATCCCCTGTCGTGCATTCCTCCCTCCGCAGGGCTGGCTCACCAGGCCCCAGCCCACATGCCTGCTTAAAGCCCTCTCCATCCTCTGCCTCACCCAGTCCCTGCCGAGGCTGAGCAGACGCCTCCAGGATCTGTCGGCAGCTGCTGTTCTGAGGTAAGGCTCGGGCAGGGCTCTGGGGAAGAGGAGAACAGAGAATGGACGGGGAGATGTGAGGGTCTTGGGCCCTGGCATCTTTACCCAGAGTCTGCCTGTGTCTGCAGAAGTCCATGGCCCCTCCTGGTGGAAGTCACACTTCAGAGGAGGGGTTGCCAGGACTGGGCTCCAAGATTGGTACAATAGAGCAGAGAGAGAGAATCCCATGTGGCCATTGGAGACCAGGGTTGGAGTCCTGGACCTGCCACTAAAGATGTAGAGTTGTAAGCTCTTGGGTGAGGCACTTTCCCTCTCCAGGCCTCAGTTTTCTCATCTGTAGAGTGGGCTAAAGATTTGCTAGGCCTCTGCCTGCTCTAAATACAATGAAGCTCTAACCAATAGGGACTCCCCCAAATTGCTTGTTCCAGGCCGAGGGTCACCTATAGCTTTCCACGCAGGTCCTTCTTGAGTCCCAGAGAGCAGAGTGAGACTGCAGCCCTGTCAGTCAGGTGAGTCCCCTGGTCATATTCTCAAGGCCAGGAACTCAGAAACTGTCCTGGAAGCACTGAGAACCACCAGATGTGCAGGGTCCACTGCAGCGCCTCTCCAGGCTGAGGCAGGAATTCCATTTGATGCCACTGACTCAGTGCCATTCCCTCCCAGAGAGGACCCTGAACTGAGCTGCACTTGAGGGGCAGATGGGGAAAGGCCTCACTGGGAGAACCTCTCCTTGGGTGTGAGCCCAGCTGGTTGGCATTAAAGGGTTTAACCTGGGTCCTTGTAAGTGTAACCCTTGTCCCATCCCACCCCAACACCCCATCTTGGGACAGGCCTTGCTCTGTGCCCAGGAGTGGTAGAGAAAGATTCCCTTGGTTTCTAGTTTCTCCTGGGCAGGCTGAAGACTATTCGGGGAGGGGGTTGCCTGGTGTGTAAGGAATTTCAGAGCACATTCCTGGCCTGCTGTAGCCAGGAAGCTACCTGCCCTCCCAAATTCCTTTTCTGACCCATGTCTTAGAGGGCGAATCTTCCTTCTCTCTGCAAAAGTGGAATCTGAGAGGATCAGGTTGCCTGTTGCCTCCTACTTTCTGCCCGCCACTTCCACTCCTCCTGCTCTCTCCCCATCCCCTTACCCCCGCTGTCCTGGTGGGCTAACAGCTGTTGGCTCAGGAAAATCCCAGTCAAATGCTGGGGACAAGGACTGAGGGGTGGGGCCTGTGTTTCTCAGAAACTGGGAGACTGTTTCTACAAGGACAGAACTCAAGGCTCTTCTGTTTTATAGTTGGTTAACTGAAGTCAGAGAGGCTAGGTGACTTAAATAAGGCCACACAGCAAAATCTGTGTTTTAAGCCCAGATTTTTTGACCCCAAGGTCAGTATGCTTTATGCCTTCTATTGTCTTTGCTTCACTCTCCAAGAAAGGTGACCCTGATCTCTTGGCTGTGAATGTGTTAGGCTAGAAAGCTGCCTGTGGAAGGGGGTGGGACTTGGGTGTGAGGACACAGGTGTTTCAAGACATTCTGGGACCCTTGCCCTGCCAGGTTCTTGACCCTCTCCCATTCTGCAGCCTCCAGTCTCAGCCCACCTCTTTCCTCTGCATCAGGTCCTGCCTTTGAGCCACTGGCATAGTGGTGTCCTCTGGGCTGGCTGAAAGCCCTCCTCCATCCTCCATGTCTGCGTGCTATTTTTGGGAGCTGGATGGTGCTCCCAGGAACAGGGAGAGGAGTCCAAGCACTCTGTCCTCCTGTGAGCCCCCAGCACCATGCCCAGTGGCTCTGAACTGGTGGAAGGGCAGAATAGGAGAGGAGAGGGAAAGCTAGAAGCTATGCACCCAGGCTGGACATGCACGGTTCCTCTGAGAATTTTCTCCCTCCCACTGAGGGACAGGCTCCTTCTGGGGCTCAGGCAGGAGCTCCTCAAGTTCTCAAGTCACTAGTTCTGGTGGCTCCTCTGGGGCTTTGGGTAACAGTTGTCACCCCCACCCATCCTGGGGTTAGGAAGGCTATTCTCTTTGGCCACGCTCATCCTAAGATCCATTTGGAGACTCTCTGGGGTTTGAGTCTTTTTTTCGGCAGAATGAGACTTGATCCCCCATTATAGCAACTCGCACACTTGACGTCTCTTTTGCTCACCCACCCACCCCACCCTGGGGGTTGGGGCAAAAAAGTGGCTCAGAGCTGTGGTCCAGAGCTCCTTGTAAACAAGGCTCCTCCCTCACTGTCCTCATCCTGCTCCAGCAGAGGGAGCAGGGGAAGGACCACTGTGCTGCAGCTGTGCTTGTTTCTAACCCAGCAGGACTGGACATAATGGGAGCAGGGTCTGAAGACAGTCAATCCAGGGCTGCAGTGGGTGCTGAGTCTGGGGAAGTCTCCACCTAGAGGGGCAGCTGGGCAGTGGCAGCTGCCTTGGAATGGCTCAGCCTCAAAGAGGCAGCCTTATGGCGGTCATCACCCCACCCAACCAGAGCCCTGGCTCTTGCTGGATGTCCACAGATGAGTGCCTGGGGTTGGTCTCAGCCACTCTAGGGGGGTGTGCAGGGAGAGGTGGTGAGGGAGTGAGCAGGACTATCTATGTGCCTCTGGCCTCATCCTGAGGCTTGGGTCTGAAATTGGTGCTGCAGCGCTGGCAGGCGTGAGTGGGGCAGGAGGCGGGCAGCAGAGGAGGAGCATTGGAAGGTGGTCCTGCCATCTCATTCTTCTCCCACCTCACTTCAGCCTCACTGTCACATCACCCTGTCCATTCTCTCCCTTGGAAGCCAACATCAGGGAGGCTGTGGGGCTGGCATATTACACTACAACAGAGGCTGCTGTTTACGTTTCAAACAACGTGATTGTGTCCCTGGAGCAGTGCACTGTCATGGCGCAGGAGGGTTGGGTCATAGCAGTTATTAGCTAAATGCCTACACTTCACACCAGCTCTGTTCCTCACACCTACCCGAGAAGAGCAGCAATTTCACAGCAAAGGGAGCTGAGATGTAGGGAGGTTAAGTGACCTTGCCAAGGTCGCAGGCAAATGCATGCTGGAGCCAGCATTCAAAATGAGATTAGTCTCACACTCAAGCGCTTGCTGTCTGCCCCCTCCCTGTGATTACATGCGCACTGTAACACCTGACATTGCCTAATGCCTTCCCCTTTTGTTAATGTCAACTGGAGCCTCATAAAGACCCTGAGTAGCCAGGATGTGTACACTTTATCTCACTCCAAACCTGAGGTTTGGAGATGTTAAAAAGACTTGCCTAAACACCCTCAGCAAGCTAATGGAAGAGGATCTGAATCTAGATTATCTGTTCCCAGTGCAGTGAGAAGATGATCTCAGAATGAGTTCCCTGGGGGAACATTTTTTTAATCAGAATTTCATTGAGATAATTAAAGACTAATATGCAGTTGTCTTTAATAGCGAGCCCTTACACACTGTGCCCAGTTTCTCCCAAGGGCAACATTTGCAAAACTAGTACAATATCAAAACCAAGATTTGACATCAATACAATCTATGATCTTATTCAGATTTGCCCACAATTGCACCTTGTGTGTGAGAAACTCTAAACAACTTTAACCTGTGTAGGTTCATGTATCCATCACCATAGTCGACATACTGAAAAGATCCCAAATCACAAGGATCCCTTCTGTGTGCTTTTATTTATTTATTTAGAGATAGGGTCTCTAAATAAATTTTGTCCAGGCCGGTCTCTTGGGGTGCCCAAATACCTTTTGTCCAGGTCTCACTTTTGTCCAGCACAGATGAAATGGGTGTGGTGGCTCACGCCTGTAATCTCAGCACTTCGAGAGGCTGAGGCAGGAGGATCCCTTGAGCCCAGGAGTTCGAAACAGCCTGGGCAAAGTCCCAGCTCTACTACAAACACAAAAATTAGCTGGGCATGGTGGTGCACAACTATAGTCCCAGCAACTCAGGAGGCTGAGGTGGGAGAATCGCTTGAGCCCAGAAGGTTGAGGCTGCAGTGAGCCTTTGTGCAGTGAAGATTTGTGCAGTGCCAAACAGATCCTGTGGAGTGGGGGTGGGCGGAGTGGACGGAAAGGGTGAGAAACTGCAGACATTGTCTTGAGTGTCACAGACGGAAATGCAGCATCCCAGGCAGTGTTGCCTGTTCAGGGGCGAGGAATGAAGTGGACGTCAGCAGGTGGCCTTGCTGCCATGTGGGTGTCACTATCTCCCCTGGCAGGGGAGGAAAGAGGCTTTTTGTTGCAGGTCGCACAGCTCATAAGGGGTGGAACTAGATTCAGCCCAGGCCTCTCTGATCTCTGTAAAACAGGGGCCAGAGCTCTTCTGAGGAAGGCAGGCTTCCCTTTGCACCTCCACTGACTTTTTTCTCTTTTTGGAGGGAGAGCAGAGACCATGTCTGACACGGAAGAGGTGGTGGAAGAGTACGAGGAGGAGTGAGTATCTGGAGCATCCTGCCTGAGTGGGGTCCCCTCCCCCCGCTGCCCTGACGCCTGGTCCAGGAGCCTCCCAGCTGTCCTAGGATTCTGGGTAGAAGTAGCTATGTGTGTTTTGGGCACCCTGGGGAGAGATATAGCCATTTCCTTTCCACTCCTGTACCCCTGGGTTGTAGATCCCAGGCAGAGCACAGGCCGAGGGACTTTGGGAAGCACAGAGGTTCAGCTCCAGGGTCTTTGGGGTCCTTGGCCAGTCCTGGCTAGGGGACTGGCCATGAACAGAGAAGCTGAGACGCTGGGTCTCCTGAAACTGAGGAAGGTTCAATGACTCTCCAGAGGCCACAGAGCTGATTGTGCTCCCCAAAACCCAGCTCAGAACCCAGTGTTATCACCCCGTCTTGGATCCCTCCTCTCCCTGACAGTGCCCTGCCCACAGTCCTGTCCCAGAGAACCCAGTGTTATCACCCCGTCTTGGATCCCTCCTCTCCCTGACAGTGCCCTGCCCACAGTCCTGTCCCAGAGGGAAACCAGGGGGCGGGACACAGCCAATCCAATAACTACGGAGGATAGTGGTCACCAGGGAGGAGACAGAGGTATAGGCACAGCTCCTGCCCTCACAGAACTTACTATCTTGTTGAGATATGAAGACATAAACTGGGGGAAGAAATTAGCAAATGGGACCCGGTGTAGAGGGCGAGCTGTTGGTAGTGCAGGAGTTCTGAGGAGAGGGAGATCAGGGGCTGGAACAGTCAGGGGGCTGTGTGGAGAAGGCAGGTCCTACCTGTGTAGAATTTGGAGAGATAAGAGATTTGGGAGAGGGCAGGACTTTCTAGAAAGGGATACAGCCTGGGAAAAGATGGAAAGAGTAAGTGAGCAGAAAGACGGTGAGACGAAGCTGGCCGGGGCAGAGGCTTGCCGAGGATGGTAGGAGGCAGCCCTGCATGAGAAGGGCAGGCCAGACTATGGGTGTCATCGCAAGGTGGGCAGGGCAGTGTAGACTCCACTAGCCAACAAGGGGAAAAAAAGGGGGGATTATCTCTGGGGAAAGGCCAGTGTGTGCAAGCCTGTGCGAGCATGTGTGTGCATGCATGCATGTGTACATATGTGTGCAGGCATGTGTGTTTGCATGTGCATGTGTGCGAGCTACTAACAGTGTTTCCTGTTGCTCTCAGGGAGCAGGAAGGTAAGCGTAAACATGTGTACTCATTTGGATCAAAGACAGCCTGGTTTGAAACTGACCCACCTCTTCTCTCTTCTCTTGCTGCCTGGACTTCTCTTCTGAGCAGAAGCAGCTGTTGAAGGTATGTACCTCAGGCAGATGGAGAGCCAGAAAGGGGCAGGCTCAGGAATGTGGAAATCCTGGGAGCCCTGGGAAAGCAGCTCATCTGTCCCTGCTCCTCACTCTCAGCTCAGCAAGATCCTCCAACAACGGTGCCTTCTAAAATGGGAATCAGTCCTATCTGGGTTGCTCGGGTCTTGAGGCAAACAATTTAAACCTGTCTCTTCTGTCTGTCATTTGCTTCAAATCCAATGACCACTTTTCCCAATTACTTTTGCTACTTTTCCCTTTTATCATGGGAAATGTTAAATGCATATAAAGGTAGCAATAGTAATAATAATGCTCCCCCTGCCCAATGTACCCATTACCAGCTTCAACAATCATCATCTTAGGGCCAATCTTCTTTCCTCTATACTCCGCCTTCCCCCAGTTATTTTAGCGCAGACGTCCAAAATTGTTCCCAGGCACCATGTCATTTCATGCTTCAAGATTTCGCTACACTGTATCTCTAAGAGATAAGTACTACTTAAAAAACATAACCACAATGCCATGATACACCCTGAAAGATTCCATTTAGTAATTTCTCAAATGCGATTGTGAGTATGAAATTGCTCAGTGATCTGAGAAGTCTTATCTCGGCATGAAGCTTTGTTATGACTCTGAGCTTGCAGAGGCCCCTCTTGCTGCTCCTATTCTGATCAGTTAACCCCTTGCCCTCCTCAGCTGTGGGTCCCACATCTCTCTGAAAGAATGCCCTCACTTTTCCTTCTTCCTGAGAGCTTGGTGCATGGAAGTGATTCAGAGGCTTCATGCCAGTCCTCCCCCTACACCCCAGGCAGGTGGACCCTGCCTTTTAGTGGCTCAGGTATCACTTCAGCATGTGGCGTGTAGACATTAGGAGAAGGGTCTCTATGAAGGTCCAAGGGGGGAGCTCAGGTGGCCCCTCCTTTGCTCCCCATGGCTCCTAGGGAAAATGGGGACCCTCCTGCACATTTAGGGCTGTTCCAGGGGTGTCTGGCCAAAGAGGAGACAGAAGAGAAAGTCACAGGAGAAACTGAAAGAGGTCACAGGCATCTTTTTTGGTTTTCAAAGAACACCAGATACTTCAGAAGCTATTGGAAATATATTTTTGAATCAAAAATCGAGCTGGTTCCAAATTCTGCTGTGTTCCCTGAACAGACTCTTGATATGGTGGCCCTTCCTTTGTTTTGGAGGATTTCCGACTTCCTTGTAACAGGTTTGGGGTGGTGGAGTTAGTGACATAGATCTCTGGATTTGGGACCAATCTGCCTGCCACACATGGTAGAATTTGGCTGTGAGTTAACAGAGTCATTCTCCACTGCACTGGGTTCTGAGCCATGTAGCATCCGCCTTGCTTGCCGTGAATAGATGAGACCCGCCTCCCACACAGCTGAGGATCTGGCTGCAAATGATCAAGAGAGAGCAACCTCTAGATCAGTGTCCGCTAAGCCTGCAGGATAGATAGTGCCAAGTGTCCTTCTTCCAGGAGAGGAATTGTTCCACTTGCTGAAACTGTTTTTTGGGCAGATATTTGTACATAGAACAACTGTTGTAGATGCAGCCTCTTTCCTTAGGGTTATAATGCTGGACCCTTCTCAGATGGGGCAGCCTCCTCCCAAAAGGCCGGGCAAATCTCCCCTGGGGCCAGGCTCTCCACTGAGCCTTTCTAAAGTGTGGCTTCTGGAAACTGGACATGGTTTGCAGAATACCCAAGAGCCTCATTCAGAGCAGGAACATGGGCATGCTTGTTGAGGGCAGGAAATTTGATGGGAGTGAATTATCCCCCACTCTCTGCTCTTTAGGGGCCTCTGTCTTCGTAAGAAGGAAGCCGAGGCTCTGTCGTCTAGAGGCAGTGCAGTTACCACAGATAGCGTGCTCCTCCTATGCCAGGCACCTGCTGGGCGCTCTATGCGTGGTAGGTCATTCAGTCCTCACTAGGGCTGAGAAGTGAGTAGAATGATCCCCATTTTACTGATGAGGCACCTGAGGCTCAGGGAAGCAACTGAGAAGAGAGTTGCCCCTGTTGCTGGAAAGTAGTGGCTTGGGAATTGGAACGCTGGCCTAACTCCAAAGCCCACACTCTTAAAACCACTGCGCTGGGTGGCTGCTCCTGCCCTGGGCTCTCTGCTCCTAGACTAACCTGTCTCGCTTTTCCCCTTCGCTGCGGCCACTCCCTGAACCTCAGAAGAGGAAGACTGGAGAGAGGATGAAGACGGTAGTACAGCCTTTCCTTCTGTGGTGCTTTCTGCTGCCTGCTGTCCTGAGTACAGCCTGCTTGTCCGGGGCCCTGCTCTGGGAGCTGGGGGGTGGGAGTTGGGGTCAGGGATGGAGTGGGTCAGTCGTCCCAGGGACCAGGATCACAGTTCCGAGTTGCTCATCATGCCTGACCCTCAGGGCCACTGGCTCCTCCCCCTGGTTCCTGATCCTTTCCCTGGGCTGGGCGGTGGGAGGGACCCAGGTTGGCTGGTCTCCCAAACTGCTCCAAATGTGGCCATAGAGGGGGCCTGGCATCTGGAAGCCAGCAGCGCCACTCTGCCCCCGCGCACATCCCAGTGTTCCGTGCTTGGCGCTCCTTAGGAGCTGGACAGCGCCAGGCAGGGTGTCCAGGGTGTTGATTGGGGGGTCTGGGGACAAAGTCCTCTGGAGAACAGCCAGGGAGACTGGAAATAGCCAGAGCAGGAAGGACATGACATCAGCCTTCAGATGTGCCCTGCTGATGGGGAGCACAGGACCAAGACAAGGGAGTGAGACCAGGGCGTAATTTTAGAAAGTGCGTCCTGACAGCGATATCTCAAGATGCAGTCGGTGTGCCGGGGAGACAGTAAGCTCCCCATCCTTGGGATGTGGCATGGCCACTGGGTGGGGTGGGGTATATTGTACAGAGAAGTGACATGCCAGATGAGGTGGCAGAGGTGTGAACAGGATGGCCTAAAGGTGAACCCCACAATGGCCATGTCCTTCCTCGCTAGCCCTCTGCTTTCACACCTAGAAGGATCATTTTGAGGCAAGACTCCTGCAGGGATCAAAGAAAAGGCATCTCCAGGCTTCAGAGAGGACTCAGACCTGGGAAGGGAGGACAGAGAGGATGAAGGCCGACCCTTCTCCCATGATGGTGTCTTCCTCCTGCCTGAGGCTTTTTCTTCTCCCTCTGCCAAGAGGCACCCACTTCCCAGTGCATCAGTGAACAGGCATCACAGAACACTTCCTACAGGCAGAGCCCAGGCCAGGCAGCATCCTGTCTCCCTTATCTGTGTCTGTCTGTCTACTCCAAGTGCCTGATTGAGATGGGGGCCACATCCTGCCAAACAAATGGATGAAAATAGAAAAATCCTGTCCACTTTCTGGATAGTATGAAGATCCAGATGTTGGGCGTACCATCCAGCCACACAGTCATACTCTTTTGATTTCTTTGAGATGTGGATTGAGGCTGTCTAGAGTCACTAGGTTCAGGACAGGAGCTTTCGGACACCTCAGCTTAAGCAGGGCATGTTCTGTGGTGCCAGACACGGGGTGGAACTTCTGGGCTGGAAAGTTGGGGAAAGAGGTGGAGTCCTGTCATCAGAGAGGTCTCTGGGATGAGTGGGGCTAAGCTGGGTGGGAGGAGGCAGCTGACAGTCAAAACCAAGAATGGCAGCCCCCTGGCATTCACGTTGGTTGTCCCCAAATTCGTCTGGACCTGGATGTCTTGACCCCCATCCCCACTCCCCACTGCCTGTTCTCTGCTCTGGGTTCTGCCTGATAGCACAAGTGGGGCCTGCTTCTTCACTCTGTCTGCTTCACTTCTCTAGAGCAGGAGGAGGCAGCAGAAGAGGATGCTGAGGATGGGGCTGAAGCAGAGGCTGAGACCGAGGAGACCAGGGCAGAAGGTAAGTCTCTGGATGAGGGTGCAGGGACCTCAGGGGGTGGTGAGAGCCCCCGGAGCCATTCCTGAGGCAGTAAGAAACCCCAGAACAGGCTTTCCCATGTGCACCTGATTCTCCTATTGGCTAAGATTCAACCGTTGATTGCCCAGTCAACAAACGTTGACTCAGCCCTTCTCTTGTGTCAGGCAGAGTCTTGGGTCCAGGGGAGTGTGCGTGTGAGACACAACTCTGTGACCCCAAAAACCAACAGCGTGCATCTTGGCTAGGACTTATTTGTTGGGGAGGCTCTTGGTGGGATGGGGGGACTTGAGCTCAGAACAAGGACCTTGATTGATTTCTCGTGTTTCATTTAGAAGATGGAGAAGAAGAGGAAGCAAAGGAAGCTGAAGGTAAGGATATCAGGAGAGAGGTACAAGGGAGGCAAAGGAGCCCCTCACCGCAGCTTTGGAGGAGAATGCCCACCGTGGTCCTTCCAGGGAAGTGGGTGTGCACTGAGAGGGTTTGGGAGAGGAGAGGACAGAACTTGGTGGCACTTCCGAAGTTTTAGATGTTGAGCTTTAAACTTTGCCCCTTCTCCTCCCAGAGAAGCTGCATTGGTGGCACCCAGTGGGAGAGGGGACCATTGTCCAGCCCCCTGGTCTGGACAGAGCAATGGGACCCAGAAGTCATATCTACACATGAAGCTCCTAGAGCTTAGGTGAAGTCACTTGTAGGATGTGGCATCCGTAGGATGAAATCCCAATGCATAGATGGTCATGGTGGGCCATTGCTGCAGTCATCGTCATGCTGCAGCCTTCACCAGGGTTCTAGGTGGTCCCAGTCACTTCTTCAGGGAGGAGGGGACAACCAGCTGGGGCTTGGAATCATGTCATCAGCTTCTGCCCTGTGGCTACCAGGAAGTCCAGGGGGTAACAAAGGAGGCAAAGACCTGGGAAGGGATTCTAGGGCCAGGACCCCTGGGGACCTTTCCAAAGGAATCCTCCCCACTGTGAAGCCCAAAAGAAGCAAAATTGCTTTGCCCAGAACTAATGAGTGAGAGAAGGCTTTGTGTGAAATTCCACACTGTGTGGCCTGCAGAACTCTATGGGAGAGGGAGTGTGGCATCTGCAGCCCCTGCTGCCTTTATTCTCTTGGATGCTTCTGGAATCAGGCTCCCCAGTGCCAGGAGGGACTCTCTGTGCAGCTGGGGAAATGCAAATCCACAGGGGTCTAGCTCATCGAGGGTGGAGTTGGGACCACATCTGGGGCCCCCTGACCCATGGCTGTGTGCTTCTGTCTCCTCCAGATGGCCCAATGGAGGAGTCCAAACCCAAGCCCAGGTGAGTGGGATGCATCTGGATAGAGCCAGGAGCAGAGGCTCAGGGAGAGAGGATAATGATGGAACAGGGATGCAATAGGGACAGTGGGCATGGGCTGGGGGTTTGTTGGGCACAGACTACCACATACAGTTGTACAAGTTGTATACTGCACAAGGATCTCTCCCTAAGGGAGTGAGGGCTGAATTCCACCCAACACGCCATCACTGATCGTGCACCCTGGCAGGGATGAGGCTATGTTCTTCTAGATGAAGTGCCCTGAACAGACACTCTCCTCTCTCACAGTATGGCCAGAACACCTTCCTCCATGGCCAAAGTGGGACCTGGGGATAAAGGGAAGCAAATTGTGGGGAGCTAAACAATGAAACTGTGCCAGCCTAGGCATGGCGGCTTCAGAGAGCTGAGAGGGGGCAGGGCAGGGCAGGGCGGCTTGGTGCCACACACGTGAAACCCACCTGGAGGTGGTGTCTGCTGGGGGGCTGGGCTATAGGGAGCATTTCCCTTTTGATGATGCCAACCCTGCCAGCAGATGGCACCTCTTCCCACTCACAGGCTCTTCCCATTTCTGTGGGGGCTTCTGAAACCAGCCCAAGACATCCCAGATCCGTTCATTTGTCCAGTGCCTTTCCCTTTCCTGGCCTCTTGTGCACTGTGGTATCTCATTTCAGCTCCACACAGCTGGGGGAAGATGGAGATACGAAGAATCAGAGAACCCCCTGGGTCTCAGTATGTGTTGGGACTAGGACCAAACTGCAAGACTCCCGGGTTCATGGCGAGTTTCTGCGGGGTCCACCAGGGAATTTGGAGTCCGACAAGCATGCCATCTTGTCACAGATTCTTGGATTCCAAGTTGTGTAGCTTTAAGCAAGTCACTCTACCTCCCTGAGCCTCAGTTCTCCCAAGTGAGATTAACAATACCTACTTCATGGGCATATCATCAGCATGAAGTGAAATGGCATATGTGAAAGAGCTTTGTGCTTTCCCAGGTGCTGAGCAAGGCTGAGGACTGCCATTGTTGACATCAGTGTTAATATCATTGCTAATTGCTGTGGTTGGTGGGGGCAGTGCTGGAAGATTCTCTAGGAAGGAGTAGGACCCTGTCCTGGACACTCTTAGTCCCTGGGTCCAGAATGGGGCTGATGCTCACTGACTATTCTTCTCTCCAACAGGTCGTTCATGCCCAACTTGGTGCCTCCCAAGATCCCCGATGGAGAGAGAGTGGACTTTGATGTGAGTGGTGGCTGTGGGTTGAGCAGGCCTGGGCTGGGGATAGTCCCAAGGGCCCCCAGTGACAGAGATTTTGTGACCTGGGGCTGGGGTAGAGCACAGGTGGGATGGGTGCTGCACTGGCCAGGGTGGGTGCCCGTCCATGAGTGTGGTCCTGGGGTCAGGCCACAGTTGCCCCTTCCCTGGCCAGGCGCCAGACCCTGCCAGAGGTCTTCTGCATTGTGGTGGAGTGTGTCTAGCCCACCCATCTCTCCCCTGGCCCCTTTGGAGGGGCAGCCTCTGAGCCACAGTGGTCCACCCACAGGACATCCACCGGAAGCGCATGGAGAAGGACCTGAATGAGTTGCAGGCGCTGATTGAGGCTCACTTTGAGAACAGGAAGAAGGAGGAGGAGGAGCTCGTTTCTCTGAAGGACAGGATCGTAGGTGTCCAGTCTGCCCACCTAATTGTCTCTGAGAGGCGCCAGTCTTGTACCTGTCCCTTTCGTGGAGGAACCACCTCCTCACCAGACAGCCCATTCCCTCTGGTGCCTAAACCCAGCTGGGGTGGTGAAGCCTCTCCTTCAGGGCTCTCCAGCACTGTCTCACAGTCAACCTGCAGCCCTACACTGGTGTCTTGAGGTCCGCCTGCCTGCTCTTCCCCAACCGACTGGAATGCTCCTTTGACCGCCAGAGCTGAGTTTGATCTGTTCAGGGCCCTCCCCAGGGCCTAATTCAGCGCCTGCTGTGCGACTGGTTTGGGTCACAGGCCTGCTTGGCCACCCACCCCTTGCCCTGCCTTTCCTCCCCTACAGATGAAGGTGAACTTGAGTGTGACCTGTAGACATCCACATCCTTCTCCTGCACATCGTGGACGCGGCTGCTTTGATTGTCTTTCTGTTTCTCCCCATCAAACTTGCCTTCCACAGACATGCTGCTTCTGGGCTGAGCAATGACTTGGCCATCTATTCCAAGCATATGGCACGAGCAGCTGCCAGGGCAGGGGTGGGATGCAGGTGAGGGCAGAGCATCAGGAGAACCTGCCTGAATGTTTCCACAACTGTGGAGGGCAGTCTCCACCATGGGGAATGTTGGAGATGGGTCTACCGCAGGTACCCTGCTGTGCATGGTCCGTGGAGCTGGCGAAAGTGGAGGCCCTTGGAGCCGGGCCACCACTGCTTCAACACTCTGGAGGTAAACCCCCCCAGGAATTCCCGCCGACAGCATGCAAGCGCTGTACCTGAATGGCACCTGTCTATCCGGATGCACACCTGGGTGGGCTTTGCCTCTTCGCTTTTCTGTAGGAGAAGACGTCGGGCAGAGCGGCGGAGCAGCAGCGCATCCGGAATGAGCGGGAGAGAGCGGCAGAACCGCCTGGCTGTGAGTGGACCCCCAGCCCAGGCCGCATGAGACCCCTCATGCTCCAGGCTCCCGCTGGGCCCCAGACCCCTGGTCTATTCTTCAAATTTGAATGAAGTAATTGGCCGGGTGCGGTGGCTCACGCCTGCAATCCAGCTTAGGGGAGGCCAAGGTGGGGCGGTGCTGCACCTGAGGTTGGGGATTCGAGGTGGCTGCTGACCAAATGGGAGGTAAAAACCCCGGTCTCTACTAAAAATACAGAATCGCTGACGTAGTAGCGCATGCCTGTACTCCCAGCTACTTGGGAGGCTGTGAGGCTGAGATATCACTTGAACCCAGGAGGCAGAGGTTTGCGGTGAGCCGAGATCACGCCACTGACTCAGCCGGGCAGCTGAGAGCGAAACGTCCACTCTTGAAAAAAAAAAAAAAAAAAAAAATCAATATCAACCTAGGAAGTGCTGGACATTGTCTTGGTTCTGACAATGTATCAGCAAACAAGAGAGAAACGCCTGGGTCCTTATGAATGTGTTATTTTAAAACACTCTCCAGCCCTCATCCCTTCCCCAGTGCAGACTTCGTGGGAACTGAAGGCCCTGTAGCTTTCTTCCGTGCAGCTGCTGAAGGCATTTCCAGAGCAACAGGTCTTCCAGGGGCACTCCCAGCTTGAGGGGGTGACGAGACCTCACATTTGGGAATCAAGACCTCATTCATTCACACAGTCATTTCTCAGTCAGTGGACTCCTGTGGGCCAACCCTGTGCTGGGAGCTACCCACTCAGAAAGCTCCTTGCCCAGCAGACAGAAAGCTGAGCTCACCCATAAAGACCATAAGCTTCAGCCCAGAATCGGGGTTTCCCGTCCTTTCCGCTAATTTGCTTTCTTCCTCCTTGCTGTAAATCAGGAAGAGAGGGCTCGACGAGAGGAGGAGGAGAACAGGAGGAAGGCTGAGGATGAGGCCCGGAAGAAGAAGGCTTTGTCCAACATGATGCATTTTGGGGGTTACATCCAGAAGGTAGGTGGGGAGCAGCAGGGGTCGCCAGGAGGTCCTGGTATAGCCCTGAGGAATGAGGTGTCCACTGCAGCAGGTAGACTTTAGGTCAGATCCCAGGAAGAGATTCCCAGCTGTTGTGGGTGGGAGACTGAGGTCTCCTCATGCCCAGCCCCTGAGCTGGTTTTCAGCCTGACCGTGGCTTGCACTAGGAGGGGCCTGCTGGGATAGGGGCTACAGGCAGAGCCTGGGGCACCAGTGGTGTTCCCCATGCCTGGCCCCAGCAGTGCTCAGGATCCCTCAAGGAGGCTGGGTGCAGCTGGAAGAGCCTTGTACCTACAGTCAGAGCTCTAGTTGGAGACCCAACTCTGCCACATACAGTTGTGTGACCTTTTGCAACCTCTGAGCCTCAGTTTCCTTAACTGGCACTTGTATTGTCTGCCTTGATGCTTTGAGAAGCCCAGATGAGCTACCATGGAAAGTGTCTATGTGCCGCACAGATGTGCGGTGGTTTGTTCCTGGAAACTGACTCTCAATCCCTAACTTTTGGGCCCCATTCCTCCTAGATCCTCCAGTCTCAAGAGAGGAGGGGTATGTGAAATTTATTTTCTCTGGGTAGGGAAGGAATCAAAACATTTTCTTAGATTTCCAGCTTAGTCCCCAGCTCAGAACTAGGCCACCCCCTGCCTCTGCCCCCATGGTGACTACACCAGCCAAGACTTTGGCATCAAAGTCTATCAAACAGCCCCTGCTGTAACCCCCAGACCCACGTCCTAGTAAACCCAGCTGCCTACAGCGAGTGTCTGAATCTTCTCTTCCGTGTCTCTTTGCCTTTGTCTTCCCGCCTTCTCTCTGTGTCTCTGTTGCCGTCTTGGTCTTTTTCTCTGGGCCTCTCTCTCATGGTTTCCCGGTTTAGCAGGCCCAGGTGGGTACCAAAAACCTCACGCGTTCTTCCTCCCCATAGTTTTGGGGAGCTCCCTGGGAGGGAAAGGCGCCTTGCTGGAGGGGAGGAGTGAAGAGATTGGGCTGGCTAGGGACGGGGGGAAGCTGGTGAGAAGTGGAAGAGATTAGTTAGGCAAAGAAGGAAGAGGCTGACATGATCCTCCTTGCCCCGCCTCAGTTTCCCCAGGGAATGCATGTAGTTGGTAGTGTGGGGTGTGGCAGGAAGATGAGCATAAGAACCTGGCCCTCCTACAGGCCTTGCTCCACCCCCACGGGGTTTGGGGAGGGTTAGGGGACAGGGAGGGGGGCAATCTGGTCAGTGTTCTCTGCTTCCCACACCCTTCAGACAGAGCGGAAAAGTGGCAAGAGGCAGACCGAGCGGGAAAAGAAGAAGAAGATTCTGGCTGAGAGGAGGAAGGTGCTGGCCATCGACCACCTGAATGAAGATCAGCTAAGGTGGGGGCTGGGAGGAGGGATCCTGGGGCACTGCCCGCATCTGCTCCGGGAGGGGTCGGGCCGAGGACACTTCTTGTATGAGCCACCAGAGGGCATGACTGCCTCACATATTTTCCCACGGCAAATTTGGTGGGACCAGAGCTGGGCTCCAGCAGGTGGGGCCAGCTCCTTTCTGGGCTTTGTTGATGGGCAAAGAGAACTGAGCAGGTGCCCCACCTCTCTGAGCTTCATCTTACCCACCTGCACATGGGTGTCAGTACAGGGGATTGAACTAGATGCTCTCCTGCGCCAGAAGGGCTTCTCCCGCTCCCCGTTTGTTCTTGGAACTTTGCCCTGGCAGCCCCTGGTGTCCATTCCTGAGCACTGGGTGCTGCCGTCTGGTCCCCAGGCTGGGTCAGGCCCAGGGGGTGGGCTGGGGTACCCTTGGCAGGCCTGGAGGTGGCAAGGAGGGCTGGAACCCTGGGGGGTGGGCCGGGACCAGGACGGAGGCCCAGGAGGGCCCTTCCTTACTGGCCCTCATCCCATTCCCACCCTTGCCTGCGCAGGGAGAAGGCCAAGGAGCTGTGGCAGAGCATCTATAACTTGGAGGCAGAGAAGTTCGACTTGCAGGAGAAGTTCAAGCAGCAGAAATACGAGGTGGGCTGCCATGCTGTCCCCGCCCAGCGTCTCCATCTCACGCTCCTCCTGGTTCACTGCGTCCCATAATACTGCTGCAGGTCCCTGGGTCCCTGTCCCTATCACCCACCAGCCCCCTTCAGCTCCTGCATCTGCCCCTGCTGCCTGGCCTTCAGCAGTGTTCCATGTCCACCATGTTGACAACTGCTTGCTGGAAGTGTCTGAGAGCTTGCGGGTGCTGAGCAGAGACACTTTCCTGGGGTTCCAAACCTGGGGGTGTCTAACATGTCAAGGCAGCAGCTCAGTGATCTGAGCTGGATACAAGGACCAGGATGCACCAAGCCAGGACCCCCAGTGGAGGGGGAGGGCTGCCCTCAGAGAGGTGCTTCTCCCCATGTACACCCAAGGCCCTGGTGTGGGCACAGTTAGGCTGAGCTTCAAGCCCACAGTCTTTCAGGGTCCTATGTGCACTAATGAGGGTCCTAGGCGAACACACACCAGGCAAGGAAATGGCTTAGAGGACATGGATGCTACATCCCTGAGCTCAGACCTGGGTACCAGCCTTTCCCTACGCAGCCCCCCAACCCCGGCCCTGGGGCGCCTTTGCTGACTAAGGGAAGAATTCAGCTTCCCCTGGAGGGTCTCCTCTGCTGCTCCTGCCAAACCACTCCTCCCTGGGCAAGAAGCCCTTCCCTGGGCAGGCTCAGGCCCCAGTGGCTACAGGGCACTCCCACCTCCCAATACGGAGAGAGGCTGTATTGCCTGGTGACAATGGCATGGACTTTGGAGCCATAATGCCTGACCTGTGCCCCTCACTGGCTGTGTGACGTTGGGTGAGTTAGTCTCCTGTTCCTTGCCTCCATTTCCACAGGTAACACTACGATCTACTTCACAGGGTGATTGTGAGGGTTACAGAGATAATACTAATTATTATTATTACTGTAGTGTTCCAACCACTGTTCCCAGCATGTCCCATGTATTAACTTATTACACCCTCATAGCAGTCCTATGGGTTCATATCTGGGAAGGTGCTCAGGACAGAGCCTGGCACCCACTAAATGCTCAGCAGGTGTCAGCCATTGTTATGGCCTCTCTAGGCCTGCGTCTTCCACTTTTTTCTTTTTTTTTTTGGTTCCACACTGAACTCTGCACTGGCCAACAGGACACAGATTTGCCAAACTTTGGGGCAGCGCCCTGCAGGGGTGGTGCATGGGGATGCTACCCCTCAAAGGGCACAGCTTCTGGGATGGTGGACAGCTGGGTCGGGGAGCCCCAGAGGGGTCTTGGGCTGGGCTGCTAGGAGGGCTCCATGACACAGCCTCCAGCTTTGTGCCCAGCTCTCAGAGGCCCTCCTTATGGGACTCTCATCCTGAACCTACTATGGCCCTGGAGCCCCACAGTGAGAGGCCCATGAGGCATCCTGGAAGCTGCTCCTTGGCTTCTGCCTGTGGCACACGGGCCCCTCCTGACCCTTGACTATCCTAACCCCTCCTACTCTTCGATGCTCCTCCTTCTACTGCACCACTGCACTCAGCCCCCTTCTCCCCATCCCCAGGCCACCTGGGACCTGAGCCAATCAGCTTCAGTGTTGCTCTTTGTCTTTCCCACTTTTCTTGCAGATCAATGTTCTCCGAAACAGGATCAACGATAACCAGAAAGTGTAAGTGTCTGAGGTCATCCTCGCTTAGCCCACCGCCTGTCCCCTCCTTCCCTACGTTCCAGCCATCCCATTCCTCCTTGGAGCGCACCAGGCTCCCAGGCTTTCCTCCTCTGCTTCAGCCCACAGGTTTCCTTCTCCGGGTCCTCCGGGGCCTCGTGCTTCTCTCCCTGTGGCCTCTGATTGCTGGTGGGTGTGGGATATGGGGCAGAGAAGCCTCCCTCCAGCTTCAGGCTGCTGCCCTATTCTGCCCCTGGAGGCAGCTCCAGGCTGCTCCTCTCACCTTTGGCACCCCCATCCTACCCAAGCCCCATGGTGACCTGCTACCCTGCCTGTGTCTCCATGTCACTGGGTCCTGCTTCCCCTGCAGCTCCAAGACCCGCGGGAAGGCCAAAGTCACCGGGCGCTGGAAGTAGGGCCCAGCCTCCTTCACCAAAGATCTGCTCCTCGATCACACCTGTCTCCGGCCTGCACTCCCCCAGTTCCTGGGTCCTCCTGGGCTCCCCGGACAGCTCCTGTTTGGAAATGGGGAGCTGGTCTAGGTGGAAGCCACCCCTCGTGCCTGCCCCCACACCCACTTCACGCCCGTAATAAAAAGCCACCACACACTGACTGGCATTTCTGTCACTTTCCCTTCAGAGAGAGAGAGAAACTGAGGTGAGACCTTCGTCTCACAGGCCCCCGGCATCTGCCAGGCTCGGAGGAGCTTTCCCCTGTCTGGTCCCCCTGCTTGCCTCCAGCTGGGGAGAGGGTGGAGGGCCCAGGTACAGCCCAGGAAGCAAGAGCAGTGGAAAGGACTTCTGATCATAGCTCCTGGGAGTCACCGAAACAGCACATGGGAAAAATGCTGTTGAGGGGGACAGAGCATTCCCTGTGTGAGTCACTCACTGGAGAACAATGCAGGCCTCTTTGGATGGTTCCCATTCTCTTTCTCCTCCTAGCCAGGGCCCTAGGAACCAGGTGTCTGAGGGACAGGGAGCTCTTGAGGAAGGAAGGAAGGCTGGTTTTATTGGGCAGCCATTCAGGTCTGAGTTGTTAAGAGGTGTGGGTTAATCTGGGTGCCTCAGTTTCCCCCTCCCATGATCTGCACATCCTCGAGGGCTTAAACCACAGGGTCCTAAGCTGAAGAGGACAGCTTGGTGGCATGGATTTTAGTTGGCAGAAAGACAAGGAAATGATGAGAGGGCACCATCCTCCTCTCCAGAGGAAAGCCTGAGAGGACACATTCTCTTGACCCTTCATCCCTTTGCTAGGCATGAAATTTCTCCCAATTCCTGATTCCTTCCCTTGGCTCCCACTTGCCACCCATCAGCAAGTGCCTGATGAGCTGTGTCTGGAAAGGCTTCCTGTGGTTCCTAGCCAGAGCGAATCCACTTCTGCTTGCTAGAGCATGTGCTGTCACAGCTATGCCACCCAATGCCACACTCTGTTAGACGCGTCTCTTCCTGCAGGCGTGGCTCTCATGCTCCCAGGAGAAAATGCAGACCTGTTATCCAGTGCTGTATGCCAAGCACTGGGATCCATGTGGTGAGAGATGAAGAGGAAATGGTCCTTGGGCCACAAGGAGGGTCTTAGCCTGGGGTCTCGGCCTCATTTCTTATTCATTCACTCATTCAATCATTCAAATACCTCCTGAGCACCAACTATACGCTAGACACTGTGCTGGGTGTGGGGTGCTGTGATTTAAGCCAGCACATTCCTCATGGAGCTCACAGAGCTCACATCCAGCAGCAGGGGAACAGCAAGCAGAGGTCCCAGCCTTGGGTGACAGAGGAGGGTGGGGGGTGCGATGCTGGGGAGATGCATAGCCCTGGCAGGTGGGAAGGCTTTCTGAAGGAAAGAGTGTCTAGGCCAAGTGCCAGAGGGTGAGGAGGGGAAAGTCAAAGGGAAGAGGTCGGGGGTGAGGCTGGGAACGGCACATAGAAAGTTTGAGAAGCAAGAGCCAGCGTAGTGTGTTTGAAGAGATACAGTTATTAACAGAATCCAAGCATCTTCGGGTGGGGACAAGAAGGCTCCATCATAAGTGCCCCCACAATGGACAGGGGCTCCTCCTAGCCAGGGCCCTAGGAACCAGGTGTCTGAGGGACAGGGAGCTCTTGAGGAAGGAAGGAAGGCTGGTTTTATTGGGCAGCCATTCAGGTCTGAGTTGTTAAGAGGTGTGGGTTAATCTGGGTGCCTCAGTTTCCCCCTCCCATGATCTGCACATCCTCGAGGGCTTAAACCACAGGGTCCTAAGCTGAAGAGGACAGCTTGGTGGCATGGATTTTAGTTGGCAGAAAGACAAGGAAATGATGAGAGGGCACCATATTTCTCCTTGGAGCGCACCAGGCTCCCAGGCTTTCCTCCTCTGCTTCAGCCCACAGGTTTCCTTCTCCGGGTCCTCCGGGGCCTCGTGCTTCTCTCCC